TCGGGGTGGGGGTCCTGTCCACAAGTACCTCTGCAATTACCTTTGTTGCCATTGTCACTTCTTTCAAAATACTTCTCTTTTCGCTCGAGTTTCATGAAACTAATACTCAAGTGGAATATCCCATGACACGTGATTATAAGTACTGGTTTTGTTAACGTACCTCTGGATAATTTTCACTCATATAGAGTGGAGATCTAGAGCTGCAAAGGACCTTTTGACCTATACTCGGCACTCAGGACCAGTGATCACTGAGGAATCTTTTTCGTGCCAGCACCTACTGCGACACGGGACCTCGGTTTATACGGTCTCATCCAAAGGACCGGTCTCCACGTCCCACAGTGGATTCGAACCCGCGACGTAAGGATCAATTCCTTACTCTGTGACTCTAGGGCAAACGCACCAACCACTGTGCGACTGCTGGTTTTGATTCTGATCACAGATTACCTTGTTTGTGGTATCGATACTAGATGAAATATGAAGATAACGAACAGTATTCAATCTCGAAAGTCCAATGAAACGATACAAACCTGGAGCAGAGCAAGCACGGGCCTCAAAATTTAGAGGTAGGATCAGGTGCCATGGAGGAGTGAGCATCCCCTGCCGTCCGGTCACACACGCCGTGTGCTCCTTGTCATGATCGGGAAAGAAAAACCGGAAAATTAATAGACAGTTCAGTGTATAAAAAATGGCCTAACAATTAGTATGAAAAACGCCAGTCAGCATTTGACTCAATGATGGGTTGTATGTGCTGAAAAGGCCTTTGTATTGACCGAAAAACTTGCGAAAAGATGACTTCAAACGAGACTATTGATATCCTTGTTTTGTCAACTTGTTTGTCAATAGCTTGCCTCGTTCGCTAACCGCAAACACTTTTGGTCAGATTTTTACATAACAATTTTATTTAAAGGCGACTATACCAACACACCAGAGGGGTAGGGGCTGGAATAATACAACATCGAAACGTTTCATAATACATGTATATGTGTCTCGATAAGATACATATCATGTCCTTTTGAATTACTTCTGAAATCGTTTTTAGTATCAAAAATAATTAAATGAATAATTCATTCATGGAAGGTGTTTATCTGTTGTAAAACAACATCATTGAACAAAATTGGTGTTAATTATTATGCATTTCATATTTATAGTTATAAATTAGCAAATATTTTCTTTACAAATTCAACCCAACTGAAGTAAACCAAGAAAAAACAGGTCTGAAAATTTGTTTGCGATACTGTCATATCTATACACAAACATATCGATTTGGGTATCATAATCACACAATTATTTTTTAAAAACTTTTCTCTATCACTTGAAATCTATTTTGCTAACAATTGTTCCAGTAGCATTATTTTGTTTGTCAATGTTACATTTTTTTTTCACTGCATCAGTTTGCTTTCACAAGATCAGCATCTGTGAAGCGCCACACTGTTAGCATCACGTTACAAACTTTTCAATGTTTTTGATAAGATTTTTACAGATAATAGTATAACGAAGATTGGCATAGTCCAAACGTGAATACCTTGACACTTTGTCAGAATGGATTAAATATATCAGATACATGTTAAAATCGCGCATTAAAAGATTGAGGGGCAATATGAGAACCATGAAATATATGGAGATAACAAACAGTATTCAAGCTCAAAAGTCCATTAAACAATACAAAATAGGAGCAGAGCAAACACGGACCTCCAAACATCAGAGGTGGGATCAGGTGCCATGGAGGAGTGAGCATCCCCTGCTGACCGGTCACACCCGCCGTGTGCTCCTTGTCATGATCGGGAAATAACGGAAAAATCCGTCGATAATTCAGTGTGTAAATAATGGCCTAACAATTAGTATGAAAAACGTCAGTCAGCATTTGACTCAATGATAAATTGTATTTGCTGACAAGGTCATTGTATCGACCATAGAACTTACGAAATGATGACTTTAAACGAGACAGCTCATATTCTTGTTTCATCAACTTATTTGTCAGTAATTTACCTCGTTTTAGCAATTGTACATACGTAGAACATGCTCTTGCGTATCGAATCAACTGAGAGACATAAACCCCATATGCAGGTGATAAGGGTATATTGCTACATAAGTAAGGGAAGCTGACGATTGAAAAGTTGAAGTCATCACGTTTATCATAAAGCTTTGTTGTTAGGTTACCATTAACGTCATTTTCTAGTACAGTATCTAATTTAAATATGAAACAGATGTGTCATAATCCGTGGTATCTTTTATTTCAAGCTCACTGGGATATATCGAGTCGACATATGAATGAAAGTAACTATTGTTAACTGATAATTCGTCGTCGATATATCGAAATGTCGAGTTGAATGCATAAATTTCTTTCAAAACGTTAGTCATTTTACAATTTTGGTCCGATTTCAATGCAACAAGGTACTCAAGTTACCTATTACCAAGAACACACTTCTTTTGTTCGGTTTTTATGTCCATGATTTTTAATTGAATTTTATTCCCAATGTCAAATTTTGTCTGATCTGAATAAACAATAATTCACCAGCAGACAACACCAAGACACATCATTTTTGACAGTTAGTTATACTGCTGGATAAGAAAAAGTACAATTAATGTAAAGTTAATTTCTTTCAAAATGATACTCCTCCTTTAGTCTTGGCTTTTGTGGAATAAGATTTGATATAATGTTAGAACACCCCAACATGTATAAAACTCAAATCGGCAAGTTCCGGCTCTTAAGAACTGAGACAAGTACAGATACTCCTATCAACGATTTCTTGTTTACTTTGTCTCCCTTCAACCTTAATTCAGTCTGTTTTATACACAATCAAAACACTTGAGTGTTTATAATACTAATAAAAAGCGTTTAATAAGCTTATTAGCCAGTTTTTGGATTGATAGACGATGATTTTGTATTTTACTACAAAATTTGTTATGTTGCTGTACAAATACATGAACTATTATTTAAAAATCTGAAATGAAAGACATAAACCATCAACACATAGTTAATGTACTTTCCCATAATTTTAATCCCTTCAAATTTAAATTCGGAAATTAAACCAGACTTGAAAATAACAGCTTGAGCTAGCTTGCATTGGAACTTCGTTAAATTAATGTTAGTACTTCCAAATCGTTGTTCGTCATTATTAATGTTTTTCACTCATGATGAATATAAATGCCAGATATAATGTGAAATCAATTCTTTTTTTGTGATCGAGACAACGGTAATGTCTTTTGTTTTTGACAGTCGTCAGAACATGTCTTTATAACGTAATTTCGATTTTTCCGCAGGCAGCGAAGCATCCGGTAAAATATTTTGCTTAATGTTTAAAGAAATTCTGAAAATACTACAAAAGACTGTTTGCTTTAACTTGTAATAAATGATGAATTTTTATGCATTGTACATTCTATGTTAAACACAAAATTCTACCCTCTGATCTTTTAAAGGGAATATCTCAAACTGTAAATGAAAAGAAAAAAAAACTGTTTCTGTGATGCACTACAAAACACGATTGATATTAAGTTTCATGCAGATAATACAAAAAAAAGATTTACATGCTTCTAGGTTAGAGCTTACACCTACATAGCATTCAAGAAATTTTGAAGAGGTTCCAAATTTTTCTTTTAATTTCTTAGATTTGATTAACGATATTAGAAAAATTCTTTTAAAGTGTAAACACGCTCCTACCCTCTATACTGCGCAATGAAAAACCCAAACTGGTTACTTAAGATTTCCAATTGAAACTCGGTTAATCTCAACAACTTTGTTTTTAATTTACTTCTTGACCGATCTCCACCCATTTTTAAGATATATCCAACAGGTAATAGTGTACAGAACCGTAAAATACAATTTTTCAAGAATTGCTTATTTATACCTAAAATTTATAAAATAAATGAAATTAATCTAATTTTTTCACGTCAATGTATTTTAAAATATTAAATATAAAATGTGTCGGGTATAATTTTTGGTAAACTGTAAGATTTTTGTATATTTTTGCAAAAACTTCCAGAAATCTTCCTTCATCCCCAAAGTCTCGTGTTAAATATTTTCTGGTGTTCAGTATATCAGCAATAAACATACAAGAAAATTCTTCGCTCAAAAAGTTTTGTTTCGATCACGAACATCCTTAAGATAATTTGACTTTTTCTTGTTACTTGTATTTCAAAAGACGAGAGTTATAGCTATCCTTTATAGAGAAACAATTAAGCACAATCAACACTCTTGTTCGTGCAATAAACTACATCCAAAATTCCTTGCGATTTTGCTTGAATCCCAATTATGACAATATAATTCGCCGTTATCTAGAAAGTATTCAATTAATAACATATAAACGTACTTCTGATGCGGATTTGCTCCTAGGGATAGCATAATTAATTTTATCACTTTTTGCTTTTGGGAAAAAGTCTGCACATCTTAATTTCCGACAAAAACGTCTTTGGGTCTGCTTAACAAATAACATATGCTTGATGGCCTTCCCGCTAACATGAATTAAAATACCATGGATGAGGCTAAACTAGCTCGATTGTGTAGCTGGCTTAATGTTCAAGTCGAAGTCGATGTGGTTTTGATCAATGTGCCCGTTAATGAATGATAGAACTCTGATGTTTGACAGTTTTAAAATGGTTCGACTATACGAGGCCAAGTCTTTGAATCTCAGTAATTACGTTAGCGGAGCTTTTGATGCAGATGTTCCTTTTATTAAAACTTCTATTGACATTTACGTGCATTTTGTCCATAACAGACTAATTAATTGGTAACATTATAAAAAAGGTTGTGTCGACTTGTAAGTGATTTGACACATTTCCATGAGATTTGGTTTCGAGCACTTTTTTCACGCCTTTTTTGAAAGCTTTCATCTTGATCAAGAAGGTGGTTTGCAATAAGCACTATATTTTTCTTCATTTGAGGAGTTTTAAAAAAAATATTGTTAGAAAATTCTTGTAGTTTTCATATATATATGTTCAAAATCTCCGAACATGTTTTGTGATCACAATTTAGTTTTAAAATTGAGAGATTAAAAAAAACTTACCTGTAGTCGCCAATCAAACCTCCTCTTAATGCTAAATTAACTCCGAGGAATAGACTATGAATACTGTTCCGACTCACAAATAAGGCATTCCTATGTAGCATCTATTTTTAAATACGTTTTTTATTACGGCGAAAGGTCTGGTTCATATTCATGAAGTTCAAAATTTCTTTAAGGCATTATTTTCCAAAGTGATGTATCGCTGTTGAAATCGAATGTCTCATTATACAAAATAGTTCAAATAAATCAAGCATAAACACCATTCCATTCTAGGAAGACGTCTGTCTCTTTGTAGGGTTTCTGTGTTGTAGCCGTTACAGATCAATGTAGGACTGAGTTCAGCACATCTATTAAGTACTGCAATAGAAGAATCATCAGTGCCGTGTTAACATACTTCTTTTTTCACTATTACCTTCTGTACCCAAAGCAATCAAAGTAGCTGTTATTAAACAATCCAGTAAAGTTTACAAACTATTCCAATTTATTTCTTGGGGGAAAACAGCACCGAAATTTGACCTTTAAAATATTAATTTCAAGTCAACATTTATCCAGCGGTCTTTGGCATACATACAATGTAACATATTCTAGCATTCACTTGTCCCGAAATTGTGAAATTGAAACTAATCATTCATAATAAAAAATTAAGTTGTAAGTGAAAAAAAAATAAACAGTGGACAAAAATTTTACATATAAATGTAAAACGTTAGGGAAAAGCAATAAAATATCACCTTTTCTGGTTATATATATTTACATCCAATCAGGCCTAAAGTCAAAATTCACTCGCATTCGAAACAATCAATATCTTCTATCACTGACTAGATGTTTTTTTTTTTAAATTGTTTCTATCAAAGTACATTAGAATTCACAGTGTGTTTTTTTTGTAGCTAAACAAACTCAACAAGGTAATTGCCTCATTACTTTAATGCAATCTCATTCCTTAATTTTTTTTCAAGCTGTTGCAAACAGGTTTGATCTGTGTTAAAGAGAGCGCCTGATTTCAGATCGATCAACATCTATTCTTCATGGTTATTTAAGATAATTGATAACGATCATTACATTCCAAGCTTATTTATTTTCACTAATGCCAAAACTAACAAATGACGTTTATTAGGGATAGAGAATATACTATCTAGAATAAGCTGACTCAATTAATTTTGTTACCTTGTTTTCTTCAAAAATCTATTCGATGATGACTGTTACATCGATATTTTCTCTGCAACTTAGAATTATTAATCTCATCAGACAACTGCCTCTAAATGCACTCTTCTTCATATTTGGGTAACCAGGGAGGAAGCCAATAATTCTATAATTTACACAAAATATATACATATATTTGAAAAATCGAGCATAAATTGTTGATGTGAACATGTGGCCCATAAACCTCTTATTTAAGTATTTTATATGTTAAATTCATTACCAGTCTGAAATTACAAAATTTAATGATGTTCATTCTGTTTTAGAGAGTTTTTGAAAAAAAAAAGATGTTTGTTTAAAAAAGGGGAGAGGAGGTATTTTTGGCCCATAATTGATACTTGTCGAATCTATTGTAAAAACAATAAATATTGTCATTTTAGTACATAGCATTTTGATGAACTTAAAAAAACAAATTAAGATGCCAAAATGACAACTTTCGGAAATGATCGAATTGTGCAAAGTTTTATTAGTATTTGGGTAGGAAAAAAACCTTTTCAATCCCCCGCCCAATCAAGTTTATCAAAATTAACCCAAATCACAATTCAGCTAAATTTGGTATAGATAACACAATGTCACATGTATGAAAAAACATCGTATGAAATTATATTGATTGTATGTTGTTTTACGTCCCATTCGAGAATTTTTCACTCATATAGAGGCGTCACAATACGTTTTATTTCCATTAGTGAACTCTTCAAAATTAGAGGCGCGTTTGGTCGTCCGACTGGGACAGCATGGCATTGCGGATAATACAAAACATGCCAATCTCAATCCAATTTTAAATGTTAAATGTATTTGTCATTCCAATTAAAGAATAGAAGAACTAAAAGACATATGTAAGAGAGCGAGAACCCTAAATTTATCATCCATTAATTAAAAATACGACATTTCCGAGGCATGTGTATATTGTATTTAGATGTACCATACGATAAATAGATACATACGATCAACAATAGATATAAATTGATATCGTTGTCATTCCTACGCTTGATGTATATAAAGTCCACAACAATAAAATATTTCATTTGCATTTTCTTAGGAATTGTTCATCGACATTCAACATATTGTTTACATGTTTATGTTACGTTTGTCCCAGAAATCCCGCGAGATTTGTACATTTTCCGACTTTCTCACAGAAGAGCGCACTAAGAAGTATAACTCTTCCATAGGAAGTAGAACGTATTCTCGTTCGCCGCGCAGAGTCAAAACATAGGTAGAGACTGTTCCTTCGCCAAACGTTAGAAGTGAAAGTCACGGGTCTTTCGAATGTGACTTTAAAACCCGAGGTCCCATGTCATGATAGGCGTTGGCACGATAAAGAACCCTCATTTCAAAATGGCCCTGAGTGCCGAGTATAGGTCTAAATTTGAAGCCTATCACCGGTATATGGTGACGTCTCTATATGAGTGAAAAATGTGAACTGGACGTAAAACAATATACAATCAATCAATCAAGAATATATATATATATATATATATATATATATATATATATATATATATATATATATATTAGACTCTGACCCGTGCGTGCACGGGTTGACATTGTTATGAATGCATCCATGTGCATATCGGACATTTGCATAATAGATACATCGACACATTCATATTGTAAGGTATTTTTTAAATAAACAATGAATGTTAATATAATTCTGTTTTTTTTTTTGGTGTTTGTTTTGTTTTGTTTTTGTTTTGTTTTTGTTTTTTAAATTGTTGCGTAACGGCGTAGCGCAGAATGGGTTTGACCACCAGTTAGCTAAAAATCAAGTCTTGAGTTCGAATCACGCCGGAGCTTACATAAATTCCACCCATCCAAACAAATTTAATAAAAGAAATTATGGATGTTCATCGAACATATGACAACAGCAAAGAGTTGAGCACACTGCTGATACATACATGTATCAAGCAAAGTAATGAAAATGAAAGAAATGTGCTAAGCTGGTATTTTTACACAATCAGTTATTAAAGTAAAGGTGTAAAAATTTTTGTAACAATTTTAACACTGCAGGTCTCAACTTGTTCAAAATATGACCTCAACAATAAAAGAGTTAAGCACGGCTAATACATATACTTTATATATACACAGGTAATAGACAGGTATATAATCTGTAAAAGACTGTCTGTTTTGATGAAAATTAATGTAATATCCTTGAATTAGTACATAGAAAAAGTAATAAAAATAGAAGCTTAATTGAGAAAAAATAGAAACAAATTGGTAATCTTCAAGTACCAATGATGTTTAAAATATATAAAACAAAAGACAGTATTCTTCCGATTTATCGGTATTAAAGGCCAAAAATTCGAGTCTATAATTTTTATATAGTAGTTATTATTGTAATTTTTGGCGGAAAAAGAATGCCTATTTCACTAAGATGTGATTCTAACTGGAGTTTTAACACCCCCCCGTTCAGTTCCCCTCAAAAAAGCGTAAAAGAAAGGAGGGATAAAATAAATCGGTTAGTTACATTAATGTTGCTCCTACGATCATGAGTTTTTTTTCCTCCATTGAGATGGTCAGAGATATAAATAACATATAATAAATGTGTCTCCGAGATGGCGAATGATTACCCGCGTGGCCACAATATCACATTTGTATCCATGGATATAAACTCAGAAACGATTACGATAATACAAACATAGGCGTCAGAAGCAAATTGAAAGTGGGGTGGCTATTTGAAAGTTGGGGGGGGGGCTAAACCAACGAAAAAAGGTAAGCCCCAATTTTCAATGCCTATATTGTGTCTATCTTTGCAAAAAAAAGGGGGGGGGGCTAAGCCCCCTACCCCCCCCCCCTCCGGTTCCGACCCCTATGACAAATACGTGTAAATTTTCATGGGAAATTTGCTGTATATTCTGTTCATATATATCACTGATTTCGTATCAGAGAACTTATACAATAACAAATATATATCCACTTAGTATTTAATTTTGAACACACTCTCGACCAACGGCTCATACATTCGTGTATGAGAGAGAAACGAACGACAACTCTGCAAGGGAGATTGATTTGAACACCGTGATTTAGCGTGAATATAATGCGCACGCGCAAGATTGTAAAATCCAAAAAATCCAGACGATTTCCGGAATTTTTTGAGGAATTTTCGTTGATTATTAATTAGCGAAGCTTAATTGAGAAAAAATAAAAACAAATTGGTAATCTTCAAGTACCAATGATGTTTAGAATATATCAAACAAAAGACAGTACTCTTCCAATTTATCGGTATTAAAGGCCAAAAATTCGAGTCTATTATTTTAATATAGTAGTATAGATTATATATATATATATATATATATATATATATATATATATATATATATATATATATATATATATATATATATATGATTTCTCTCTCTTTAGTCAGGAGTAGTGACATGAATATTTCAAGAATGGTTAAAAGTTAAACGACTCTTGCACATTCAATCTCTAGAATATATATTAAGCTAGTTGAATTAGCCATATCGGTGTAGCATGATTTTGCTATTCAAAACAACTTCAGTTATGCATGAGAGAGATAATCCTTGATTTTGGAATAAATTTCTGAATTTTACCACAGCAATCAAATATATGTCCGTATTTTCAAGCTAGTTCCGAAGTACTTAGCTACGGGGCTGTAGACACCCTCGGGGACTAACAGTCCACAAGCAGAGGCCTCCACCCAGAGGTCATAATGTAAATTTTAAACGGTACCAATTTTGATGTACTAGATGTGCATTTAGACAAATTTTGTCTCCTCAGTGATGCCTATTACGTTGGAAATCCGAAATATTTAATTTTTTTTTTACAAGAACTGAAAAATGAGTGAAAAAGACTGGAGCCAAATACGTCGAAGGATCAGAGCTATGCATGAGGTAGATAATCCTTAATTTTGAAATAAATTTCAAAATTTTACCATAGCAATTAAATATAAATCCGTATTTTCAAGCTAGTACCGAAGTACTTAGCTACTGGGCTGTAAAAACCTTTGGAAAATACATGCCTAGTCCAGTCAATGAACAACAGAATTTGCAACCCCCCCTCCCCCCCCCCCC